GTTTTATCCGTGAAGATCGGCTCTTTCCACAAGAGTACGTGTAAAATCAGTGTAAATTAAAATAGTTATATCTCAGCAACCATTTGGTGGATGCACTTTTACTTTTCTGCAGTACATTAGGAAGACTAAAAGAACAATTTCACAAATTTTTACCGACTTTGTACTATTTTGAAGATGGGTCCGATATATCCTTAATGTCGGTTTAACTAGTTTGAAGAATTAAAAGATAAAAAGTAAGTTAAATCGAGATTAAAGTTCAACCAATGTTGGTAGAAATGGGCACGAGCTATTTGAATATTAATAATAATCGATATCCAATAGAAGTTCTTCCTGGGAGAAATAGGGAAATCCCTAGAAGATACGATCTCCTATTCTCCTATTGGTCGGAATGTGGAAGTCCGCGAAGAGATTAAGAACCTCGACTAAATTTCAATTTGCGTAATTAGCGATTCATTCAATTGGCTAGAAATTTCTAAACATGCAATTACCTCCAACTCATTTTTTTCCATATATTTGTAAACAAAAAATTAATAATTCTATTCTAATTAATTTTATCTTAATAAAACAGTAGATATTATACATTTCATTGGCCCCAATCTATTTTTGTTGCATACGTTAAGCAGCAACAAATTGAGAATTCTATGTTAATAAAAAGTATACATAGATATTGCACGACAAACTAATCGTTAATTACGTTAATCGAAATTTAATCAAAGCCACTCTCTCAATCCGCGAGAAAGTCACGACTGACTGAAGAAGAGAAATAATAATTATAAAGATAATCTTCTTCTAGATTTTCGTTATATATTTTCGTAATCTTGCTGCATTGCATTACGTCGCTTTGTAAATTTAGATAAATTGTTGGAATACATATTTAATTTTAGACCTCGAAGGAACTCGTTCGGCACCTTGACGTATAAAATACGATATAAAAAGTTAAACTCGTAATTTGACATTCTGATAAAAACAACGGATTGAGATTGCGATTAAATTTAAAATTTAACCAATTGGAGTAAAAGTCACTAAACTTTAGATTAGTAAACTTTACTCTGATTAGTCAAATTTTAATCTAATCTAAATCTCGGTCCGTAGTCTGGTGAGTTTTAGAAGTAACATTTTTAATGTTGAAAAATACAGATTGTTTTTATCAGAATGTCGAATTACGAGCTTGACTTTTTATATCCATAATTTTTGACGAGAAAGATAACGGGCTAGGACTAGACCAGGATTCAAACCTGGGACCTTTCGCTCGCAGGGCGAATGCTCTTCCAACTGAGCTATCCAGGCCCACACTCAAAATCCCTCTCGCTTACCTACTTTATTTTACTGAATAAAGTAGTAGTATACTAACAGCGCGACTCCAGAGCGATGCGTGGAATCTCACTCAATGGTTGTGACATGGACATACGAAAGTGTGGCCGATAAAAAGGTAACTTTAAAGCATTCTCTTTGTCGAACTTTCAGACCCTGTATCTTCATACTTGTGCGTCGGAGAGAAAAGGATTGCGCTAAACTGTCTTGGGAGTTTTCCATCCACCCATACAGCACCAAAGCTTTCAGAAACATTTCAGAAACATTTTAGAAACATTGCAACATTGCAAATTACAATGTAATATTGCACAGACGGTCCAGAGACATTCAATTGTAATATTTCACCAACGTTTCAGTAACCTTGTAGAAATATTATAAAGTTGGCAAAATATATTGGTAACGTATTATAATATTATTTAGATTTTTCTTACATATCTCTTGGGTGTCTTTATATTCGCAAATTTTATTTATTAGGTTATTCGGAAAGTTTGTTTTTCAATTTTCCTATCTATTATAAATACATATATAGGAAATTTAAAACGAATTTTCCGAACGACCTATCCTGCATATTTATATAAATAACGTATAATGAAATCAATATTACAAATACATTGCACCGTGCCATTACTGCAATGTTACATTGTAATACGTCTGATGGAGGTCGTTTCAATGTTGCTTCAAGCTTGCAACAACGTTGCTGAAACATTTCGCAAGCTCCATGCAATGTTACAATGTTACAGTGAAAGGTGTGTGCAACGTTTCTGCAATCTTTCGGTGCTGTATGCGCACTGACGTTATAGAACAGTGCCTCTTCCAGTATAGCTGTATTTCAATATTTTACTTCTTGTCGGTAGATTCCAGTCACATATTCTAAACATTTACCGAAATGCGATATATTACTCTATTAATTTACAAATAACGCAAGTCGGGGCAGTAGTTTTGCGTGTGACGACACGAGCACGCGATACATACATGTCGCGCTTGATATATGTACAGTGCACGTTTACGATCGGCATCATATGGAATCAGGCTTTGCCGCAATCAGACTATAATCCGCTAAGAAGGAGTACGCTAAGCTACGATCCAACGTCTTAACCGCCTGCTGGTGGATGTTGCTAGCTTTCTTCGGGTCTCCGTGCTTCATCTCGTACTTGATGTAGTCGATCCAGATGGCCGTGTCGTTAGTCCCAAATTCCATCGTCGCTATATCGTAAGGTCGCCGTACGTACTTTGGCATAGTTTCCGGCTGCATAAGCTCCAGCGCAATCATCTTCTTGTGGAAGTCCAACGAGGTGGGCGGTTGAAGATAGAGGCTCTTGTATGCCTGGCGAGCCGCACAGATGCCTGAGGGATGGCAAAGATATAAATATCGCGGAAATTGAACTTGGATAACAACCGCGAGGTAGAAAAAAAGTAGCTCTATCAATCTGACCTTTCGTTAAAACGAGCCATTCGAGCCACATAGGCTTGATATCTCTGGCAATCAGTATGTGTGACTGCAGAGCCGCTTGAAAGCTCTCCTCGGCCTCTTCCGAGCTCTTTATCTGGGCATGCAAGATCCGCATTTTCCACAAAGGTAACGCTTTCTCACCCAATATCTCCGTCACCTAATTAGCAAATCACGTCAATCTCGGCGCGATCAAGTATTTCGTTAGTTTGCAAGATTTACTACCTTTGGAAACATAGCGTACGCCTCCTTCTCCAGGCCGCTCTGCAACATATGGTTGAACCGCGCGTGCCAAATTCTAACGCTGTTTGGTACAGCATCGGTCGCTCCGCACAGCACTTCGTCCAGCTTTTTCCGTACGCTCTCGTCGTGCTTCTTGTCGACGCTCAACATATTAATCTACGAATTACATATTTGTAAAAGAAGCAACAAAAGCTGGTCATTATTGTTTCCAAACATTCTTCCAGTTAAAAGATTTCAATTTGATAAATATCTCAATTGGAAAATTCAAAGTGTCTCCAACAATGGAGAGACATTGTTAAAATAAATATATAAAAACTATTTTTTAAATATATTAACATGTAGCGAATTCGGCAGCTTGCAGTAATTTTAAGGCTTGTTTACAGTCAATTCTTATATTTAAGGATTGTCTTGAGTACTTTGTGAAATACTTCTTAGCCAGTAAAATTATCTGTATAGTATTCGTATGGGCAATTTTTTCGACTAAATAGCTTTTGGACACGTCACAAGAGGGCCATAAACAGAGTAGACTCGGAACAAGCCTTGGTGTGCACTCACAATCAGTGCCCTAGTGCAAGCTGCCGAATTCGCTATGAGATGTAAAGTAATCAAATTTAAGCAAATTTCGTCTACGACGTTAACTGTCTGCGTATAGTACGGATAGTACGGCGAAATATTGAGCACAAACCCAGTGCAAATAATGCTCCTCCTTCAGTTTCTTCGCCTGATGCGCCTGCATCAGGGCGGTTTTCAAGAGTTTCCTTTTGAAGTTCGGCAACGATTGCAGGTCGCGATTAATCTCCAACAAGCACTCTATGTACAACGACCAGATCTCTTCAGTTTTGATCTTCTTCACGGCGGTCTGGTAGACCTTGTTGCAGGACGTGATACGATCCCTCAAGGAGACCTGCTCGGCATCCTCCAGTTCCATCGGCGTGTCACTGAGGCGTGGTTGCACCAGACCCTGCAGCTCGCGACGCGCCATCGTATCCCACATCAGGGGCTCGTGGGCGTACTCCCGAATCATGTCGCTACGATTAAATTGTCCCTTTAATTTCAGTCATTGCGAGAAATGTTTCGACAGATGTTCGTACATATACACACCAAATGATTCTCTTCTGCAATTGCTCAATGTTGTCGTATTCTTTTGTGATGTTGAGCAACTCGACTATAAATTTAATATCCTTGATGTGCTCAAAAGCCTGTTGGTATATAAAGAAGGCCGTTTTCAACGGAAGTGGCATGTCGTTATCGTCCGTCGTTGCCGACACTGGATTATCTTCCCGGTTCTCGGTATTTTCAGAGTTGGGAGCCAGGCGATTGTCCAATTCGAGTCTACGAAAAAGAAGACGAGCGTGTTTCGATCGCGCGATTGATAGATTACAGAAAAGATTATATCGAGAAACGCGCTCTGTACCCACTTGAAAGCATCGATGTACAGTAATCGAGAATCAGGGTGAATCTGTAAGCCTCTAAGGAGGTACTGCCGTGCACCGTGCTTGTTCTTGTTCTCTTCCAATTCCCAACATGCCGCTATGTGCCAGCACTTGGGCTTGTCTCTGTGCACCTGCAGCATTCTGCCCAGCATGTGGTTGATGTTGCTGTGGAAGTGCTGCGGAGACAAATAATTGCGTTAGATCGCACGGGTGCAGCCCAGACAGCCACCATATACGTCCACTCACCTCGCTACCTACCACGTGTTTACAGAACTTCATGTACGCGATCCAAAATCGAATGTCGTCTTGAAACTTAAATATCGCGTCTTTGTACAAGGTATTCATCTTATTAGTTATAGCGTTGTCGATGACCGACCTCTTTTGCGTGATACCATATTTCTATAAAAAAAAAAATACGTATATAATACGCTAGACGAATCGCTTCAAATTCGAACCAAATCACCTCGATTCGATTGATTTTCGAATCAAAGAGATTCGAGTTCGAATAATCTGGTGATTTCGAACTGGTCTCACTTTGCCTTCTAACAAATGTATTAATTTTTTAACGCAATATCATAATCTTTCAAATAAACAATACCACTGAAAAATGTTTGACTTTATTTTCGAACCGACGTATAATGTGCCCAGGAAAGATTGATTCGAGTTTAAACCCGAACAGATTCAATTTAATTAAAAAGTACATATTTTGAAAGATTTGATTCGACCATAACAAAAGCATGATTCGCACACCTCCTTAGGTGGATGCATTAGAATTAGGGTTGCTAGATATGAAATGGCTATTTCCGGGACATTTTTAGGCCACGGCTGAAAAGTAGGTTGTTAGAGTATTTTAGTTAAATTTTTTATTAATTAGTAACCCATGAGCATATACAGGGTGCTAAAAAACTAAGTGCCATAAATTTGTGTGATAAAAGAATAGACGAGTCCAAGCATTTTAAGTATAGGAACCATGGTTCGGCGACGTTTTATTACGGCGTGATGGGCGTTTCATTAAATCGTCACAACGTCTGCGACGCAATGATTTTATTTCGTCAATTTCATATATGTATTTACAATAACTGTTAAAAGTTACGACCTCCAACGTTCCGACAAGTCACAGCAACGGAGCAATGACTGCCGCGTTCTTTGGAATATTCCAGGCATGTGTCGGATGATTTCAGATGCCTCTATGATGCGAGCGACCAGATCCTCCTCGGATTCGACTTTTTCAGAATAAATCATATTTTTCATTGCACCCCAGAAAAAGAATTCGAGAGGCGTTAAATCTGGTGACCTTGCAGGCCACGTCACAGGC